GAAAATTAAGACCAGGAGGCTAGGCTTGTGATAGGATGTGCAAGGCTCTGGATTCTAACACCAACAATACCAACAAAAACCTCCAGAAAAAAAAAAAAAAAATCAGAGCCATATTGAGTAGTGGGGCTAAGAATTAATTTTAGGCCAGACGTTCATGGCACATACCTTTAATCCCAGCACTTGGGAGGCAGAGGCAGGCAGATCTCTGTGAGTTTGAGGCCAGTTTAGTCTACAGAGCGAGTTCCAGGACAGGCTCCAAAGCAATACAGAGGAACCCTGTCTCAGAAAAATAAAATAATTAATTTCATTTTTATGCTATAATTAGACACCCAGAATTCTCAACTGTTTCATGCCCATATATGCTTTTTATTTATTTACTTAGTTTTCGTACAGGAAGGTTTGTTTCATGGTTTGAGAGTGTAGCTCCCTTTATGGATGGGAAAAGCATGGCAGAAATTATGGAGTAGGGGTTTGTGGCTGGCACTTCTCAACAGTGACTGTTCACATTTGCTTTTAGATAGATATATATGCTATTGTTTTGTATCTTAAACTGAACAGTTTTAATCTTCTCATGTATTTCCCTTTTTGCTTTCAGGAACATTATGATCCAGAAACACGATGGCATCACAGTGGCAGTGCACAAAATGGCCTCTTGACATCTCATGTCAGTTCTCCAGCAGCCTGTCATAGGGATTCAATCCTACCTGTGTCGGTTAACCTGTAAAACTATTGAAGTTCCAGAAGTTAGGCCATTCACCTAATGTCCAATGTGGACTTCCTTATTTATATGACAACAAGTTACCAAGATATTAGTTGGAAAGGGTCATAGTTGTTTTGTTTGGGCTTTGGTCATTTTGCTCTTAGGAGACTGTGACTTCACTGCAGTTCAGTATTGCAGGTCATCATTGCCTAAAACTGTGTAGCTCAGGCTGACTTCAAACCTGTGGTCTTCCTGCTTCAAACTCCTGCATCCTGGGATTATGGGCATTTGTCACCAAGGAAGGTCTAGGTCACTTTGTATATAGAACTTTGTTGTGGTCAATAAATCCATTCAGAGGAAAGTTTGCCTCTTTTCTGGTTCTTTAAGCTCTTACTTAATGCTCATTTTTCTTTTTTGTTATGATTTTTCCCCCAAAAGATCTTTATCCCAAACTACTTGCTTTTCTTTCAGAAATTCCTTGAAATGTCTGTGTTCTTATACAAGATGCATGGACCAAACATTTCTCTTAACCTAAATGATATAGGTGTTATAACTCCTTAATGAGATAAGAAACTATTTTTAGTGTGTTCAGGACTTCACTGGGTTACTGGTAGCCCACAAACACACTGATTCAAATGGCCTTGTCCAGACACACTTGTAGTGAGATAGTCCTTCTGTGGCACTGGATCGGGTTGAATTTCCTGGTGTTCATCTGTCTAGGTTGTAAGTTATTTCTCCCTAAATAAACATCTGTTCGGCCTATTTGTTTATCCTGATCCTTATTTACCGCAATACACATTTAAGTATCTTGGATCTCATAGTACAATCAAGTTAATACAAAAATTAGCCATCATAGGGGATGGACTTGGGAAACCCCATGCAACCATACATTGGCTTTAGTTCCATACGGACTAGAAAATTACCTATCTCCAGTGTGGTGGTTTGAATGAAAATGACCTCACAGGCCCATAAGTTTGAATATTTGGCCCCCAGTCTGTGGAGCTGTTTGCAAAGGATTAGGTGTGGCTTGTCTGAAGAACCAAGTTCTGGGAATGTACTCAGGGAATAATCTTTGAAGTTTCAAATGACTCCTGGCATTCCCAGTGTGCCTTTCTCAGCCTCCTGCTTTTGTATGAAGATGTGATCTCTCAGCTGTTCCTACCACCATGGCTTTGCTCTACCATCACGGAGTCTAACCATCTGAAACTGTAAACTCAATTACTCAAATGGTTTCTTTTCTAAGTTTCCTTGGCCATGTTTTTTTGTTTGTTTTTCTGACACAGCAATAGAAAAGTAATGACATGTAGCCTTCAGGTCTTCCCAGCACAAGTCTTGCTTTATTAATAAATTGGATATACTTTTTCCTACCTCAAATAGTTACAATGAGTACTTGAGAAAATGTTTGCTTCATTGACACTGCTAAAGAAAGCAGTTGAGATAACTAGGTGTAGGATGATAAATGGCATAAGCAGTGGGCAGGTACTAGATCTTGCGGGCCATGATAGCAACTTTTAATTTTGTTCAAAATGCAATAGATGAGAGGTACCTGAAAGTCTGGAACTATGCTGTGTGTGCAGTGAGCACTTAACTGTTATTAACAGGGTGCCTTGTCAAATTCAGCGTAGCTAAGACCTGAAATCAGTCATCTTCTGTTCTATGATGAACTACAAAATTCAATCCTTGTTCCTATTTGTTTGCTCTATTGCTTTTTTTTCTTCTTGTATTTAGTACCAACCTGATTATTTTACAGAAACCATTCTTTTCTAAACTGGGATAATACACAAGAGTAAATACACAAGAATATATATATATATATATATATATATATATATATAGAGAGAGAGAGAGAGAGAGAGAGAGAGAGAGAGAGAGATTGCTTAGTATACATCTAGCATACAAAAACCTCATTAAAGACTGAACTGTAAAAGCTAGTCATGGTGGCACACACCTATAATCGCAGCATTTTGTCTGAACAATCTTTAAGGCTATCTTGAGATACAAGACCCTGCTATGTTTGTGTGTGCACATGCACACACACATCTTAACAGCACATTACATTTAGGCTAGAAATTGGAGATTAATGAACAAAACAGTTTTTTTTTTCAATGGAAAAAAAAAAAAACGGGATTTTTTTTTTTTTTTTTTTTTTTTGCTTTGCTTTTTTCCAGAGACAGGCTGGTCTGGAACCAAGTAACCCATACTAGCCTTGAACACATAGCAGTCCTGTCTTAGCCTCCCACGTCTAATAGGTCTAGGATTGTTTTGGGTTTTTTGTTGTTCTGTTTATTTTTTTGCGTGTGTGTTTTGTTTTGTTTTTTTGAGACAGAATTTCTCTATGTAGCCCTGGCTGTCCTGGAATTCACTCTGTAGTCTTGAACTCACAGAGATCTACCTTCCAAGTGCTGGGATTACAGGCCTGAGCCACCACTGCCCAGCTAGATCTAGGATTCTTAAGAAGGCATTTCCTTGAGTTAGTTGCCTTCTAGCTTTTTCACATTCTGCCTAACAGACAAAACTTCTTGCTGTTATGTAAGTATTCCTACTGGTTTGTTCTCTTAACTGCTTTCTTACTTTCTTACCCTTACTCATTGCATCCATTCTATTCTTGGAGGTCCAGTTTATACCATAAAACCCTTATACTCATGTATTCAGCAAGAGCTCATTTAGTGCCTACTGTATACTAAGAACTGTTCTAGGTTAGAAGCTGAGAAATTAGTCATGTTTGAAGACTCTGTTAAGCCTCATTAAGCCTGTAGTATGGGTGCTGAAATGTTAGTATCCCAGATATCTAATAATTCTTCTGATAAACAAGAGTTTTTGTTTTGTTTTCTCTCTCTCTCTTTTTGTGGTAGGAGGGGCAGGGTCTGACTTTAACCAAGATTTGTTCAAATTCACAGCAGTCTTCCTTGCTTCAGCATCTGAGATTTTAAGTGTGAGCTGCCACACACAGCAGTATTCTTAATTCTTAACAACAATCTTGGAATACAGCATCAGCCACCTTTTATAGTTTTAGAAACAAACTCAAAGACCTGCTCAGAATCTCAAGACTTAAAATGCAAAGTTGAAATTCTACCGGAACCAGTGTTACTTACTATTTCATGATCCCTCAACGGTTTCTATTAAGGTGGCTATATAATAGGCATCTCTGAGGACTTCAAAGTTCTATAGATGAATGTTCCACTCCGTTTCAATCTGGTTCCAGGGCTCCAGACAGAGTTATCAGTATCAAACTCAACTTCATCTCTTGTGATTGAATCATAGCTTTGCTTTAATAGAGCAGCTAGCATGCCACCAAAGACTTTGAAAATAGTTCCATGGATGGTCACTAAAACCATTTTCTGTGTACATAATTATCAGAGAGGTCTCTGAAAAGTATTCCTCTTCCTCTGGGTTTTGCTTTCTGAATGTTTATTTGATCTTTACCACCAACACCACATAATTGCATCATCTTTCCATGGTTGCACTTACCATTGAAGTTATCCTCCCAAACTAAACTGTCCTATTGCAAACATTTTAATAAAGTATTGGAGCTGGGCTTTAAGAGGATGAGAAGCCCCTTGTTTAAAAAAAAAAACAAACAAACAAACAAAAAGTACAAATGTCCAGATCAAACAAACTCATACCTTGGCTCAAAATATACCCTGGCTTAAAATCTGGAATGTTGGTGTAGGGAGATCAAAGGCACTTTCTTGTTGATTTTTTTTTTTTTTTTTAATGTGGAAGGTGGAACAAAGGAAGGAAATTGGACTGGAATGTTGAATTAGTCAGGTAATTTTCTAGAACTCACCCTTAATCATTTCCAAAATGCAATAAGAAAACAGTTTCATTAAAATTACTACAAGTATACTTTTTTTTTCAGGGGAAATATTTGAAGTTAAAGAAATTGGGTTCAAAACAGCAATTAAAATGGGACCTGAAACCCCACATTAGTAATCACACTATTTAGTCAGTGAGCACAAAAGAACACACAGCAGGCTGAATTTACTGAAGAGTTTTGTGCTTGCTACTAGGGATGAAACCCTAGTTAAGCATGCACTCTATCAGACAACAACCATCACCAGCTCCAACATTGCCATTTGTGGCCCAATAAAACACCCTCCCGCTTCTGGAAGAATTTTGTTTCTCTTATAAACCAGTCTTGAGACTGACTTCCTGAAGAACTTTGGTCAAGTGTTTCAAAAATCTGGAGTCTCTTTCTCCTCCCCACTCCTCCCCCTAGGCTTGTGATGTCACTAGGAAGATTTTCTCCTTGGTTTACTCCAACAGCTTTTGACCAGAGGTAGAAAAAAGTCCTAATTTGTGGGCTGGCTGGAAGGCTGGCCTGAGTTGATCTCAAGTTACAGCCTTTCCTCCTCCCTCAGGAAGTAAAGTCCACTGGCAGGACTGCCTAAACCACTCTACCCTGCTAGACTACAATGCCTGCTTGTTTTCACCAAGCAGCGGTATGAAATGCCTTAGAAAAAACCTAACATTTTATAAAAGTAACTATTTTTTCCTTCAAAATTCCCTTATCTATAGAGGAGAGGATTCATTTGCTGAACACATCCTTAAAGGTAAGGTGAAAATGGAACTGGGCATTGGGTTGGATTTCTCAGGGGCCTTAGGATAACTGGAATCTCTGTCCAGGCTAATCATCTAACGTGTCTCCCTCCCCCCCTTTCTCTGTCTCTCTCTCTCTCTCTCTCACACACACACACACACACAACCCTGGAATTTTTCTGTTCAGCCTTATCATCTAACATGTTTTACACACACACACACACACACACACACACACACACACACACACACACACACAGAGACCAGCCTACTTTAACAAATGGAGATCAGGATAACACCCATTCCTCAGAACACATACATTTTCTTCTCACTCTTTCGCAATATATGGGTATTTATTTACTCAATGCTGAAATAACTATGACATTCTAATCTTGAATACCTAGCATCTTTCTCCTAAGGTGGAGACTAGTCTCCTGCAGAATAAGTCCACTATCACACCCAAAATTTAACCACTATACAGTACACTCTATTGCAGTTCATTCATATTTCCCAAGTGGGCCTCCCAGATTCTTTTCCTGATCTATTATCCAGTTAAGAAAGAGATAATGCACTTTGTTGGTGTATCTAGTTCTTTAAAATACCCAAGTGCAATAAAGGATCTATGCAAACCCAAGGGTCCCCTCCTATATATTTTTCTTTAGAGTCAAGGGCTCTTCCCAGAACTGGCAAGGTAACATATGGCTTCCTCTAGAATTAGCTTATAGCTGGTTGAGCACAAATGGAGTGTTCATTCCTATCAGGGGAATAAGATTGAGCTCTTACTTACATGAAGCAGACTTCATATGTAACTAAGGGGTAACAAATAGGTAAAATAAAGCTGGTTCCAGGGCAGGCTCCAAAGCTACACAGAGAAACCCTGCCTCAAGGGAAAAAAAAAAAAAAAAAAGGTAAAATGACAGAATAAAATTATAAGTTTAGCTATGTACACCTTTAATCCCAGCTTTCAGGAGAAGGCAGGATTGCCATGAATTCTAGGTTGGCCAAAGCTACATAGCATGTCCAGGTCTTAAAAAATAACCAACCAATCAACCAAAAACCCATGTAAGTTTAGATGACTTCCTTGGTTATTGAAGACTGTTTTGGATCTGTCACAGTGATTTTCTGACATAACCCAAAGGAAGCATCATGAAGAGAGAAGAAAAGACCTTTCCTTATGCTAAAGCCCTGGATGGAGGATGGGGATGGATGATCGTGTTACATTTTTTCCTGGTAAGTTTCTCTCCCCCTTCAAACTGCTGAACTGTCTGGAGAAATCCTCGAAGCAGCCTAACAAAATCACTTCAGAAACAATGGGATTTGATTAAACAAGCAGTCAGGGACTTCCCCAAACTGCTAAGATCAGAAGCCACCTCTGTGAAACTCAGAAGCCTAGCTGTTCCCCTTGAGAGAAAGTAGAAACATTCTTATCCAGTCCTCTCCTCGGCCTGTGTTCTCAATCAGAGGCTGCTCCAGGCTTGATTGGCATTTTGGCCTTGGCATCATGGCAATTGGGATTTGGGGGCATTGCATTCTTCACTATACTGGGGCATTTCTAGAAAGTACTCAGCCCTGCCAGGTATGAAACTATGCTTGCAATTCCAGCCCTCAAGTAGGCTGAAGTACAATGAGTGCTGAGAGTTCAAGGTCAGCCACTCAGCAAGTATTTCTGACAGAGTCCCCATACTGGTTTTGTCTTGGAAAGAAGAAACTGCAGCTAAGGAATTTGCTTCCACCAGACTGGCCTGTAGGCAAGTCTGTGGGGGAATTTTCTTGATTAATGATTGCTACAGGTGAGCCCCTCTCACTGCCACCCCTGGACAGGTGGTCCTTGAACAAGCCAGGAAAATAAGATAGTAAGTGCTATTGCCCCATAGCTTCTGCTTCAGTTCCTGCCCTGAAATAAACCCTTTTCCCCAAGTATTTTATCATAGCAATAGAAAGCCCTCTGATAGGGGTTGGGAATATTTCAGCTGCTGCCCCCCCATATCTTACAATAGAATTAAACACTGTATATCGGACACGTGTTGTTAAGCTGACTTAACTGTTGAGGATGCTATGTGAAAAAGTGGTGATGTGTATTATCAGTGTGCCCACTCCAAACACTGCTGGGTCCCATCACAGCTGTGCCTCAACTGGCCAAGATCCTCCTATTAACTTTGAAACACACTCAGAAATACACTTTTCTTGGTACTCCTCCCCTGCTTAGATTTACAATAAGCAGCCCACACGAGTACAAGTCCTGTTGAGTAACAGTTATCTGTATGAAAATGGAGGCAGGAAAACAATGCATTAGTCCTCCCTAATGATAGAAAAGAAGGCAGCTAAGATTTGTGTATTATAAAACTTAATAAAGCACAATTTGTTTAATTCTGGCTTCATTACCAAAGGATAGAATTTCACTTTCCTTCCATAGAAACATTACTACCAGGGAAACTAAAGATGCCTTAAGCCTCAGAGTCCTGCCTGGTTGGGCCTCCTCTCAAATCACGGTGCACGGGGTTGGTATTATTGGATAGTCTGGTTCTCCCACTCTTCTCTACATGTTTCTCAATGGATGGGAAGTTATTTGATTAGTTACTAAGGAAAAGTACCTCATAATCAGGCCAATAGTGTCTTGTTTGGGTAATATGCTGTTTAACAATGAATTCAGCTAACTCACTGCTCACAGTGGTAATGTGCACCCTTACAGGACAATGCATTTCTTTCTGTGTGAATTACAAGAGTGCTTTTTGGTAAGATTTAAACTCCTGAAAACATGAAAAAAAGTTTTTGCCTTTGTAAGCTCCCCACAAAGGCAGAGGGAGGTTACATTGTAACTTAACCATACTTTATATATAACTTGGTGTTTAGTATGTCTTACTAGACATACATGCAGCTACTCATTAAATAACTGCTTGCAGGGAGGGTGATGAATAAACTAATTGACACATTTATAAGTAAATGAGGATAGACAAGTCAGAGGTGGAAGAGGCTACAGAAAACATAGCAAGAGCCACATGTGATGTTACACACCTGTAATCTCAGCGCTTGGGAGTCAGTAGAAGGATCATAAGTTCAAAGCCTGCCTGGGCAGCAGTGACATAATCTCAGAAAAATAACAGATTAACCAAGAATATTGGTTACTTTGAGGTTATGCAGTTTTAATGAGGTAAGTTAACCAGGAAAGTATTTTAAGAATTACATGTGGCTGTTGGGCCAACAGTGAACTAGTGAAGATTGTACAGGGTATCCACTGGACAAGCTTCAATCAGTAAAGAATAAAATAATAAGCCCTAAATTTGAGGAAGATGCCAGGAATAAATGATAACACAGAACTGAGCATATTGAGAGGGCAGACTAAGATGTGGAGAGGAACCTAGACAGCAGGGAATACGAAGAGTCCAGAGTTGTTAGCAGAAGCACTTTGGTGGGTGATGAATACTGTTCACTAGAATTAGAAGGAATAGGAAGGAACACTCTGAGGGTTGGAATGGCTTAATCTGGGACAGAGTCCAAAGGATTTATAACCAAGAATGTACTTTATATAGTTTATATGCACCTGAAGTTGAGAAACCCATGTTTCCAATGTACTGTTTCAACTTTAAGGCTAAGTGGATAAAAATCACTAGAGAAAATAGGAATAGGACAAATCTGGGGGTGGGAATGAATGGAATCATTCAGAAAGGATGGGGGGGGAGCAGAGAAGTAGGTAGTTGTCTAGAAAGTATCAAGGAAAAACTGGTGTGTGGACATTGCTGAGGTCACATAAAAGAAATGGCAACAATCTCCTGACTTAGCAACAAGCAAGTCTCTGATAACCTTTCTCTTACACCTTGGTCAGATCCCTTAGATGGTGGGCACAAAGGTATCAAATTTCAGTTTTCAGAGGAATATTGTTATAGTTGTGTAGACACAACAGACTTTGAAGAAATTTCTGTGAAGGTCAGGACTAGGACCTGGGACAGAAATGAGCTCTTATTAAATAAGAAAGTGACCCTACCAACTGGCACTGATTTCAAAATGAGTCACAGCTGATCTAACATGCGTGCGAACACACCACACATGCACACACACTCGCTTGCTTGTGCAGCCTACTTAGTATTTCGGGTCCAATACAACTGCTTTTGTCAAGTGGTTGTCTTCACCATTTAGTCCCAGCACTCAGGAGGCAGAGGCTGTTGGATCTCTCTGAGTTTGAGGCAGCCAGGCCTTCAGAGAGAGTTCAAGGGCAGCCAGGGCTACACAGAGAAGAAACTGTCTTGAAAAACCAAAACCAAAACAATAGCAACAACAAAAAAGTGCTTTTAAGTTGGAAGTTAGGGGTGAACCATTCCTAGGTTTTTGCTTGATATGGAGTTGAGACAATCACAAAGTCTGATGAAGACACTGAAGCAGGAGTAACATCCAACAACCTTGATCTAAGGCATGGAATCAAGGAAAAATACAGACAATGGGAGAGGTCTTTTGTATCTTTTTTGAATCCAAATACAAATGAATTAGGAAGTTAAAGTTAAAGAGAGCTGGGTAAAGCAAGAGCTCTGCCTTGCCTTTTCTGATACTCGTGAATACACAGCACAGCCTGTTATTGGGCAGGTCACACCCATTTCGTGGCTGTCATACCCAGACACTAGAGTGAGAAGGAATAAGAAACAATTTGAACAAAGAAGAAAAGTTCTTACTGGAGACCAATAACCAGCCAAATTCAGATGATTAAGAACAGAGGCAAGCTAGGAGTGGTGGCACATGTAATCAATCCCAGTATTTGGGAGGCAGAAACAGGAGGATCTTTGTGAGTTCAAGGTCAACTTGGAACCTAGTGCCACGACAGCCAAGACTACATAGACTGTCTAAACCAACCAACAACCAACCGACCAAACAAACAAAAAACCAGGTAAGTATTGTGTGGACATCACCACATAGCTCACACACACAGGGGAGTCTTACAGAACGACACAGTAGTAAACCTTGCTCATAAGTACACTCTATTTTGAACTGAAACAGGTCTAGTACATTGATATTTACACAATTTGCTAGTTTGATTTTTTTTTTTTTTTTGGAGGAAAATAATAACAGACTGTGGGTGCTGGAGTCTGAACCTGGGTCCTCTGGAAGTGTTAACACGTGCTTTTAACTGCTAAGCCATCTTTCCAGTCCTGCGTTTTGTTTTGTAAAATTTCAAATCAAAATGAGAAAACTGCTTAGGATTCTTTCCTGAACTTTGGAAGCCTCTAAAGCATTGCCAATTCTTGGTCTCCTACCTCCATGTAAGAAATACTATTCTGAAATAAAGCTGATTAGGAGGGTGGGTGTTGGTAATGGTTCTTTAGGAGCTGAGGAATGGTGGTATCCAAACAGAAACAGCACTCCTCCCCACAAAGGCACCTGGAATGCTATGCAATAGGGAAATACAGTAGTGATGAGTATTGAGTCAAGTCAGACCAGGATATAAACATCAGTGCCTGTACTATCATTGTCATTTTTTCCCTCTAAACTTCAACTATTCACCTATAAAACAATAGTGACACATCCTTTTCACAGACCCCTTCGTGACTATGTCTCACCACTTTAAAGAGGAATGATCTGCTTCTCCTACCCCCCCCCCCAATTACATAACCAGAAACACCAGCAAGAAAAATGGCTAAGTACTAAAACACTGGAACAATAGAGCCTCTGGCAGCAGCACTAGCCTACTTGTCACCTAACAAGGACTCTGGTATGCTTTGGTTTAGGTAAATGTGTTTGTGATGGGGATGACCAAAACATTTGCAATTTTCTTTGTGGTCTTTCAAGAAGAGTTTGAAGGTACTTCAGAGCAAATTGGTTGGATTGGATCCATCATGTCATCACTCCGTTTTTCTGCAGGTATAAAACTGGTAATAAGCTTGATGTCTATGGAGAACAACCACATAGGTCCTTGACAACACTGTAATTCCTTTAAGGCTGAATGAAGTACTGTCACATTCAAGTTCACTTATTAATACAAATTAATATCAATATGTAACATTGAAACAGACATCAGTGTTTCAACTGTACTTAACTTGGTAATTAAGTTGAGGAAATTGGGGTTCTATGGTAATATGGCAATTAGTGACTCAACTTTGCACAAAACAAAGACCTCTAGCTAGTACCAATACAATTTTATTTTCTTGAATATACAATATTTTAAAGTAGTCATCTTGTTTTTCTCTAATCAGCCATTCAAATCACATGTAAGGATTAAGGGATGCCACAACACATTAACCTAGCACTTTCTCTTTCTTCTCTTAAGGTCCCCTGGCTGCTATTATTTGTGACATAATTGGAGAAAAAACTACCTCCATTCTCGGGACTCTCCTTGTTTCCGGTGGCTATCTTGTCAGCAGTTGGGCCACAGGGATTCCCTTTCTTTGTGTGACTATGGGACTGTTACCTGGTGAGTCTACTATAAATGGACTATAAGACAAAACCGGAAAACTTTCTACTGGCCAACGCTTCTAAACAGATTATCTGGCCTGGTAACTAATCACCTAAGAAGTAATTTCAAATTTGTTTTTCTTTTAGGATTAGGGTCTGCTTTTTTGTACCAAGTAGCTGCTGTGGTAATTACCAAATATTTCAAAAAACGATTGGGTCTTTCTACAGCAATTGCCCGTTCTGGAATGGGACTGACATTTCTGTTGGCACCCTTTACACAATTCCTGATAGATCTTTATGACTGGACAGGTGAGTCAAAGTTTCTAAATTATCAACACCAAAAGGTTAATGCTTACCCCTCCCTTTGAAGACTAGAAGTGAAGCTTCAAGACTAATTCCTCTTCCTTGCTCCAAGGTCACTGTGGGACCCTGGTGAGTCCAGATCTTGTTATGTAGACCAGGCCGGCCTGGTGGTAATGTTCGTATTATGGGCAGGAGGCACCACACCACATAAGTGCAAACACTTGCAGAAGGCATTGCTATAGTATGCACAAGGCTCTGGGTTTAATTTCTAGCACTGAAGATGGGAAGGGAAATAAAGATGATATGGGGGGGGGCCTTAAAACGGGGTTTCTCTATGTAGCCCTGGCTGTCCTGGAACTCTGTAGACCAGGCTGGCCTTGAACTCAGAGACCCGCCTGCCTCTGCCTCCCAAGTGCTGGAATTAAAGGTGTGTGCCACCCACTCCTGGTTAATGGAAGCACATCTCCTTCCTTAGAGAACATTAAAGAGATCTTTCATGACCTGGAGGCTTTGCCAGCCCACTTAGAGAACTCTCTTTGGGATTCAATACAGGAGATCCAACTTGAGACACTGCAGTAACATCTGTAGAAAAACACTCTTCTCCCTTTCCTCTAACGCTTCACTAAAAATTTGTAAAAAGATTATGTTCCTATTGGACAATCTTTTATTTATACTATCAACCAGGAATTTTCAACAAAATCATTTCATAGTTTTCCGAAGTACTTTAGTTCAAATGTTTATGTTTATTTCTATTCTTACAGTAGTTTTATTGATTTGTTCTTGCTCATTAGTCTTATGGTAAATGGGAACCTCCAGCTGACAAACCTTTAAGCCTACATAGCTTATTCTCACCAGAAACACGTCATAACTTTGTTCAGGGCACCCAAGTACTCTGTATCAAAAGCATGTCTTCTTTCAAGGGACTTTAAAAAATATCATAGGCTGAAAGGCTGTCCCTTTTCTAATTTTCCCCCATGATTCATGTTAGCTAGTTCTGTATTTCCTAGACCAAAATCCAGTCATTGCAATATATTTAAAATAGCTAAAATGTATTGTAATTTTGTTCCCTATCCTTTAGAAAACAATACCCTTTTTATATAACTTCTTGCACAACCCCCCCCCCCCCCGGTCTTTCAAAGCAGAGTTTCTCTGTGTAGCTTTGGAGCCTGTCCTAGAACTAGCTCTTATAGACCAGGCTGGTCTCAAACTCACAGAGATCTACCTGCCTCTGTGCTGGGATTAAGGCATGCACCACCACTACCTAGCCTACTTCCTGGTTTTCTATTTCCAAAGTATTCCATTTTTGCAGCATGTACATTATCAATAGATTTAAATGTTTTCAGTTAAATTTGGGAGGCAGAGAAGGAGATGGCTCAGCAGTTAAAGACATTTTGCTATTCTTCCAGATGACTAGAATTCCATTCCCAGCACCAATAGATACCTCAAACTTCCTGGAATTTCAGCTCCAGGAGATCTGATTCTCTTCTGGCTTCAGTGGGTCACACATATGCATACACATGTACACACAGAGAGACATATACATACACATAAATAAAATAGATTTTTAAGTAAATATGGGAGGCAAGGTAGTATTTTCAAGAATTATTGCACTAAATAGGTTGGCTTCTTCTGAGCCTATGAATACAAATTATTCTTATCTTCTCCATTTCTCTCTTCTACTTAGGTGCTCTTATATTATTTGGAGCTATTGCATTGAATTTGGTGCCTTCCAGCATGCTCTTAAGACCCATCCACATCCAAACAGAGAACAAGTCTGATATTAAAAACAAAGGTAGCAGTTTGTCTACAAATGGACCAGAGGTATCAGACAGGACAGAACCATCATACTGCAATGAGACACAAGAGTCTTCTATCCAAGGCACTTCTATGAAGAAATCTGGACAACATATTAAAAATTTAACTGTCTTAGAAAATCAAAGTGAAGAGTTCAGCAATGGGCCTCACAGGAACAGACTGATACTTATGAGCAATGACAAAAGTTACCAGAAAAAATCAGTTCCATGGAACTGTAAACAAAATCTTTTAGATATTTCTCTCTTTAAGAATCCTTTCTTCTATATATTTACCTGGTCTTTTCTCCTCAGCCAATTAGCATATTTCATTCCTACTTTTCATCTAGTAGCCAGAGCCAAAACACTTGGAATTGACATAATGGATGCCTCCTACCTTGTGTCTGTAGCTGGTAAGGAAACCTATTTCAAACTCCCTACCTAGATTAAATTTTATTTTAAAACTAAAGCAAGGAGAGAAAGGAGGGAGAAAAAGCAAGAGCAGCTATGAGTGGGCTGGGGAAGGCTAGGGAAAGCAAATTTTCTGAGGCTAAGCACACCTTGCATTTCCTCATGCAGATCTGTCAACTGCTATCTTGCAGATTCAAGTGGACCTCACATACTTTATTCATTTGCAGGTGTCTAACACAGTAGATGCCAATTATTCTTTGGGTAGAAACTTAATTTCAGAAAGCTGGTGCTAAGTGTCAACAACTACTCTGGGAAAAAGGAAATCTCAGCTAGAAAACATAGAATAACTGGAAAGATTGATTCTGAAGCTTAACTTCCTAGGTCAGACTCTTGCTCTGAATTTCCTTGCTAGTGACCTTGGGCAAGGTATTCTCTATGGTAAGATTTCCTTTCCTATCTATAGGACAGGCATAACACACTGCTTTCCCACATAGCTGTATTAGCATGTTCTACTAATATTTGATGCTAAGAATATTCTTTAAATACTTGAGATAAATATGACTCTTGAATTAGTCATTAAGCCACAGGTTTGTATTTAAAATAAATTATAATGTAAGTTTAAAAAAACTATTATTTTATATAATTGTAAAATATTATAAGAGCAAATGCTTAAACTGTATACTTTCTCATCTGACAGGAATCTGAAAATGAAAAGGGCTAAGACTGAATCTGTTTTGCTCTAACCCAGCAATTCTCATAGTTCAACTTAACTTTACTTCTACAGATTTCTAAACTACCAAGCCCTTCAGCTTTGCCAGGCATGTGCCACCTTGCCTAGCTTCATGATATTCTTGATGAAAACTTCTTTTGATATTAACTGCTATGTTCTGTAACAGGATAAAAAGTAAGAATGCTGAATGGAAAAAACTGTGGTTCTTAAATTTTAGTTATTACACCATTCCTATGTCCCAAGTGTCATTTTCAGACTTCTTACATATTTTCAAACTATAATAACCCTTGGAGGTCTTAAGTTCCAAAGCTTCACAAACATACATAATTTCTAGTGTCTTTTTTCATGTAAGATTTCAGTGACTTTTTTCTCATGTTTTACTATATGATTCCTCAGGACACCTCTAAGTTTCATATCCTCAGGACCGTTGAAGAAACGTTAAGACCTCTTTAGCCCATGGCTTTTTAAAAAAAGATTTCACACACATGGCAACTTGACAGTTTCATGTTATTAGATGTGTTTAGAAAAGTAACATATCCTTATTTCCACATGAAATCATTTTTTGTTCATGTATTCTGGCCTCAAGATGGAGTTCTACTACTTGGGAAAAGATGGGCTAACATTTTTACAAAATGGATTAGGAAACAAATAGATTGCCTGACTTTGTATTTATTGTTCCAGGTATCACTGAGACAGCCAGTCAGCTCATTTCTGGATGGATTGCTGATCAAAACTGGATCAAGAAGTATCAATACCACAAGTTTTACCTCATCCTGTGTGGTGTAACTAATCTGCTTGCTCCTTTAGCCACCACATTCCCACTCCTTATGGCCTATACCATCTTTTTTGCCATCTTTGCTGGTGGCTACTTGGCACTAATACTCCCAGTACTGGTGAGTAGACTCATTCATTAATGTTTAAACCACTCAATACAAGTATCAGAAACAGCTTTCCCAAGAGAAATCAAACTTTGTATTTTTCTGATTAAAAAAATTATCGAAGAGACCTTAGAAATCCTATAGGTAGCTATATCCCATCATTATTTATTGTACTATGTGAGGAAAAGAAGCTAAGAGGACTAGCAGCACAGTACAGGAAAAGGAGGAACAGAGACAGATCAGCAAGATTCCAGCTATCTTCTCTTCACTCCTTTCCTTCAGGTCCAGGGGTCTCCTGCTCTTGCTAGAACATAAGCACATAGGTCTTCTACCAAATGTGGCTTCTGTGTATTTTAAGGACATTGTTTTGACAGGTTCTTCATTTTTTATTGCAAACTGACTTAAATCCTGTTTTTTAAAGTTTTATAGAACAGGGTATGAGACATGCAAAATTCCAGGGTCCTAAGGCTAAAATCAGCCATGGCTGGTAGTCAGCCACAGGTGGATTCATTATTACTGTTAAGTGCAGATTACAAACTACTATTTCCTAAAGGAGAAGGAAAATCATTAAGGTTTGGGAGGTAAACACACATAAAAGATTAAACAACCAAAATCAAACACCAATGTCCCCCACTAATAAACTGAAAACACTATTCTGCCTAGGCAAACCACTGTTCCCTAGTTGACTTTTATTCATTCTTAAAACTGGGGGCAAAAAGTCATCCAAATTATCCCAGGAGTCAAACCATTCAAATTAAGACAAAAACAAACAAACGTGATTTGTCACCCCTTCGCAAACACAAGACACTAGAGAAGTTTATCCTTAAAATAGCTAACCCTGACTTCTAATTGCAGGTCGATCTATCTAAGAATTCCAGAGTACACAAGTTTTTGGGATATGCCAGTTTCTTTGCTGGAATAGCTGTCCTTTCTGGACCACCAATAGCAGGTAACAAACTGAGACACACTCCGAGAAAATTTCAACAAAGAAAATAGGAATCTTGTATCTATGGCAATAGTATCAGGTTTAAATGCTATGTTTGATTTTCCCATTTTTCCTCTACCTTAATTACCAATACAAGGAAATCTGAGAGCTAATTCTATAGATGTGCTATTTTACTTTACTGGAAATAACCAGCTTAACCTAAATGATGCTTTCTGCTTGATAATTTAATTAAAAATTGACTACTTGCACAGAAAAAAATTATTCCTAGGGAATAGGATTTAATGCTAGATTCCCACAGACCAAAGGTTTGATCTGATTGCTACTGTATTTGCATTGTCCACAAAAAGGAACTTACCTTAAAATTCACTTTGCTATTTTTAATGGTTTAATTTTGAAACAAGCAGGCTTCAAATTCCCCATGTACCCCAAGAACCTTAAGAATTTTCTGATCCTCCTATCCCCACCTGTGATTACAAGTATGAAATCAATTATTCTGTGGTGGGATGAAATCAAACTCCAGGAAACCATGCTAGACAAATAATCTGCCAACTGAACCAACCCTAACTTTTCCTACTTACAGATCGTAACTGAAAAAGTGCCCTATTACTAAAAAACAAAATCCACTTATAGTGATGTTAAGTTTGCACTTTATTTTTTAATATTTACTCATTTTTGAGGAAGGGTCTCATGTAACCCAGGCTGACTTTTAATTCATTACCTAGAGGATGCTAGCTTTGCACTCTTGATCCTTCCTCCCAAGTGCAAGATCTACAGGCTTGTGCCACCATTCTTGGACTGATTGATTGATGAAAGAGAACAGACTACAACAGAGAAAATAAGAAAATAGATTTGCTTTATTGTGAAATTTTATTTCATGCACAAACCCAACGTATTATAAAATATATTTATTTCAATCGGTCAGAAAAAATGCTTCTAGCCCTTTCTTACACAAAGTTTAGAATACTTAGAATTATATGTAAGGAGGATAAAGACAGAGTTCCTGATAGTACTTGTACTCACTAATCCTAAGAACTGGGCAATCATAAATGTTCTAACAAGTCAAGGGCAGTAACCAGGCTACTGCTAAAAGCTCACATACATTTTTTTGTCTCAAAGTTGCTCATAGTATCCCAAGTGAGACTATGACCAGACACTAAGGACAACCTCATTTGATTTTAAATAGAGAGGTTTCAGGGTAACCCTTGTTTCTCTAAGTCATTCCTCGATGAAATGATGAACAAGACTTTATGAAGACCATTAGATCTCTTCCCAAGTTCTGACTTCAGCAACAAAAAACACTACCAATGCTGGTTTTCAGATTAGGTCAATTCTTTGTAATGGAGATGTCACTCAGTGACCACTTGCCTAACATGTGAGGCCCTATGTTCAATTACTAGTATTTGAAAACCAAACTAAAAACAGTACTTGATTATTAAGAGGTATAGGAAAATACACAATTGCGTTCACCTTTAACTCTAGATGTTTATTGGTAATCTTCAGAGCTGTAAGAGATTCTCATTTTTACTTACCCATATCTATTACCAAATGAAAAGCTGAAATTCCTATAAAAGAGTATAGGCATGTTTAAGTAGGAATCTGGCAAACAGTAAATCCTCAGTCAAAATGTTTGCTTAAAATGATAACTGTGAATACATAAACAACATACTTCTCCTTCCTGTATGGGAATGAAAAAGAAAAGAAAAGTTAGTTCAATACAACACTTTAATAATTCTAGGAAAGAAAAAGTATAGGAAGCCTATAGAAACCATGTAACTTTAAAAAATACACAATTAAAAAAATCTATAAATAGAACACATGGGGAACAAAATCATTTATAGACCTTTATGATTATAAATATGATAAGAAATGTAAGTGACACAATTCCTTAACATAAGACAATAATTTAAAGAACAAAAAGTCAAAAACCTACCCTCCTCCCTACATGTACTCCTCCACAGAACACTACCTTTGCCTATGCCAGCCAGATTCTTTCTATCCTTTCCCAGTAACTAGTAACAAATCCAATTTTATTTAAGAATATGGCCCAAATCACACTCTTCCCTGACTGAGGGTGGTTAGCAAACTAAGTCATGTCATATCCAAACCTGCCAGTTTTTGCTGGTAGATAGCCTCCAGAATTCCACCGTAGCACCAAGATGGCAGTTTTGAAACGTGGGGAAATGTAAGAATTAATATTTGAAACTTTGTCATGTTTCTAGCAGACCTATACTTAAAACATACAAGGTACATACATATCAGTATTAGAGATGACAACTTGGGCAGAAAAGTATAATCATATTCTCCAACATACAATTCAGACATAAACCATATCACATAAAATTCCTAACCAAGGCATTTGACATGAGCTCAAAATAAAAAGGCTATTTCATTTCACATTAGCTACCTACAAATATAAAACTGAAACTGGGCAGTTGTAGTACATGCCTTTACTCTCAGAATTTGGGACACAGAGAACAGCAGATCTCTGTGAGTTCGAGGCCAGCCTGGTTTCCAGAGCAAGTACCAGGGCAGCCTCCAAAGCTACAGAGAAACTCTGTCTTGAAAAACAAAACAAAAACTGAATATAGTTCTTCCTTCTCCCACTATTCCCCATTCCTAATAAACAAATAACTTATGTACATACATATAATTATTTAAATCAAGCACAAACATCTTGAAAACTTTCCTAACATTTTAAATCACTTTGATTTTAAGCAGTAAACACCATGCAACTTGAGCTTTCGGCAACTTGGTAACAAGAAACTTTGCTCTCTCAAGACCCTCTAAGAAAACTAAAAATTTTATAAGACAGTGTCTCACTCTATAGTGCAGGCTGCCTAAAACTTGCTATGTAGTACAGGGTAACCTTGAATTCAAGATTCTCCTGCCTTTCAAGTGCTGAGATTAGGCATATACATCACATCCTGCTTGAGAAAAAGTTCTAAATCTAAATAGATATAACTTGGCTGTGTTTCAGAAGAGGAAAAAAAATCCCTAAAGAAAATCTCTGTATGTATCTGGATATATAGATATATCCTTTCCCTCTCAGGTATTTCAACCCTGTAAGTCAGAAATAACGCAAACTGCTTATCTTTTCTAGCTTTGTGTAGTATAGGAAAAGACAATGGATAAAATGTAGTCATCCATCCAAGGAGGTCCCTTTAACAAATAATGAACTGAAAGGTCATTCCCTATTTCCAGTCTATCATCAGTCCAAATACAATACTGAACAAAACATCTATCTGATCCTTGCTCCACCATTTACCAAATTAACCTTTAATGCAGGCTTATTACTAGAGAATTTCTCTATGGCCTAAGAATTTATTAAAAGAAAAAATCTTTTGGTCTGTTATAGGTTTACTGTAGAAGACTGGGGAAAAGTGGAAGACAACTGATAAAAAAAAAAACAGAGCAAAGTTCTCTGTATGAATAAAAAAGAATGCACTAACACAAGAAATTATCGGGTGTTTAATATCCCTCAAAACCAACTCCCCATAGCTTCACTCTGACTGAGTATTCCTAAGATTGATGAATATCTTTGATAACAAATTCCAAATAGCTCTATTGTGGTTTAAGAGGAAGAAATAATCATTCTGCCCTTGCAAAGGCAGTGTAGTCTTTTTTATTCATACAGAGAACTTTGCTTACCCCAAAACCCCCAAGTCAGAGCTAAATTAGAGAATGAAGAAAAGGCAATAAACAATTATACCAAATGAGTAGGGGTGAGTAAAAAGACCAAAGAACTTAAGAAGAGTATTCCCACCTCTCTATCAGTTTATCATCTCCAAACCCAGAACCATATAGGCAGATAACACTAAGATGTTTCCAGAGTACAGACTTTTCTTTTTGGATTTTTGAGACAGGGTTTCTCTATAGTCCTGGAACTCACTCCAATAGAGCAGGCTGACCTCAAACTTACAGAGATCTAACTGCTGGGATTAAAGGTGTGTGCCACCACCACCATTATGGTATAGACTTTTACATGGACAATGAAACATTGACTTGTTATCACACAGTGAAACAAACATTTTTAAGACGTTTTACCTAAGTTCTAGTATGTACCATTGATTACAAGACTGAAAGGCTTCTTCTATTCTTATTTTAAAGAGCATTGAGTTAGGAATGCAGCTCAGTGGCACAGGGCTTCCCTATCATGCACCAGGGCCTTCATCCACATGTGTGTGCCCACACACACAATTTAGATTTCATAAGAATTCCTTTAACACATTAATCAAATAGTTCCTTCTCATGTGATATCATAACCCCCAAGCCTTCCCAAGTACGTAATTTAAATGGCTAATATCTATTTCCCCACTGAACTATAAACTTTATGAGGATAGGGACCATGTTTATTTTTCTCAGTACTATCTTGATGTAGAAAATATTTTCAGGAACATGATAAATACTCAAATGTTAGCTCAGTAAAAGAAAGAAGATTCAGTCTCCTTTTTCTCCAAAAAAAAAAAAAAAAAAAAAAAAAAGTTATTCATGATTACTTTACTTCTAAGAAAACAGTAGTTTTCTTGTAGAGTATCATAAAATGAAGTGCTAATTTTCTTCAGTCTCCACCCTAAGGCACGTTTCTGAGTACACAATGACTTTTTTAATGATGCAAGTTTCTACTCAGATGAAAATGATTCAGTTTCGAGTAAGACAGGTGAGAAGACATATTAATTCCAGTCACTTCACTAACAGAAATCACTCCTTCTTTCCAGGATGGATCTACGATTATACACAGACATACACAGGTTCTTTTTACTTCTCTGGCACCTGCTATCTCCTCTCTTCACTCTCCCTTTTCTTTGTACCACTGGCTGAAAGATGGAAAAGCAAACAGTCTGACCTTCAAAGGACTACAATCAAGTAAGAGCTTAACAAAAGAAAATCTAAACAAGCCACTGGAAACAAGCTTAGAAGAAAAAACTGAGAATGTAAGACATTTAATTTTTAAGATTCCTTCTTGCTTTACTAGCACTGCCAGGAATGTTCAATTGGTAGGAAAATAGCAACTTAAATTGTTAATCAAACAGGCTAAAAATTCAATCAGTTGAATCTGCTACCTTACCTATTAAATGAAAGTCAGAATGTACTGTAATAAATAAATCCAAACTTTCATTTGTGCTATAGTTAGTATGTCACCAAACTGTGACAATTGTAAACCATTTTTTTTCCTTTATTTTAATATAGTAATTGGTTGACTAGAGCTCTGGAATCTGAATAAAGACTTACTTAGTGACAAGAATGGTATATAACCTCCAAAACAAGTTTATTGATTATAAGTACTCCTTGATTATTTTGTCCAAAATTTCTAGTGAACTGCCAACAAAAATAACACTTAATAATCTTTAAGATCATTTGAATACTATTACTGACCATCTAAACAGTATTATCTTTTTACTACATTTAATTATCTAAAATATTTATATTAAGGATCTAGATGAGTCTTCAGAACTTTAAGTTCCATATGGAAGTTGGTGGTTTTAGGAGGAATTATGTTTAAATCAAAAGGTGTGTGCCATTTATGGCTAATTAATAATGGTTCTTGTACTCAATATCTGCCTGTGAATAATGAATTCTTGGCTGTTTGGGTGATCTTTAAGAGGATAAAAAAGAGTTTTCTAAGCAGGACAAGGTGGCATATACCAGAAGTCCCAGCAATCAGAAGACTACAGCAAGAAAAAGTTTGGACTCCACTATGGGACACAGTATGAACTCTGTCAAAAATAAAAATCATTTTCTGCAACACAACCTTCCTTAAAATCTTTCAGAATATTCCAACTATTATTATTCCACCCTTCACTCTTCTCTGTTTTCTTAATGAAGACCCCCTCCAAAAGAAAAAAACCCTAAACTGAAAGCTTAAATTTGGTTACAAGATGCACACCCTAATACTTTCAAAATAATAAGTCTTTATGCGAACTTTTGCCATTTGCTATATAATTCCAGCAGCTTGCCTTCTCTGACCAGGTCCACTCCTAATTACCATTTACAATATGACTCATTTAATACTCAAATGGAACAACTTTCCCAATTTGTGAAATTTCATCTAACTTCCTCTACAAAGCTGGAGCCTGAACCCTTGACAGCACAGGCAAGCATACTACCACTAAGCTACATTCCCAGCTCCCAGTCTAGCTTTAAACCAAGCACAGATACATTTAGGCAAAACATCCATACACATAAAATAAAAATGTCTCTCTCACACACAAGCAGCAATCTAATAAATCTCAGCTCTGTCATTTGTTATCATATGATCTCCTAGTTGCTCAACATCTGAAACCTAATTTCCTCCTCTGTAAAATGAATAGTATCACCATTTACCTACTTCATAGATTGTACTGTGAAGATTAGATGAAAATATACTTTCTGAGCAAAATATCCTTCATAAACAGTAACTATTTTCCTTTCTTCTGTCTTCTGTGTCAAAGGATAAAACCAATAGGAACCACTCTAAATTTCCCTTTCCATTTTGAGGAGCAATTACAAATTACTAATTGGTTACATGACTCCTTTCCAAGAATCTATAGCATAGGAATATCACCCGAAATACATACGCAGTTTAAGAAAAGCACAATATTCACTGAATATTTCCCTCTTTCCTCAAGAGATCCCTATGAGCCCCCCCCCCCAATTATAGGGTGTAGGGGTACAGAAGAAAATCAGTATATGTCAACATCTAATAATATAACTGTCACCACAGTGTGTACGTATTTTTTTTTTTTTAAATTTTCACACAGGTTCTCATAAAAGTGTCTACCGTGGTCTGAAAATCTCTATGAAGCCCATTCAGTCCTCAATTTTGCCTTGGTCTCCTGAACAGCTGGAATTACAGACACACATCACAGTTTCCAGCTAGCTGTGTACTTTTTGTATAAAGTATCTAATTTCATATATATTTATATGGTCTTTTGTAACAGGGTCTCATTTAGCTCAGGCTAGTCTAAAACACTCTAGTAACGGATGACCCTGAACTTAATTTCCTACCTCTTACCTCCCTGGGGCTGAGACTACAGGCATGTGCCACCATCTCTCGCCTAATCTTTTTTAGGGGGTGGGCTAGGATGGGGGAGAGGACAAGGTTTCTCTGTGCAGCCCTGGCTGTCCTGGACTTCTATAGACCAGGCTATCCTTGAACTCAGAGACCCACCAGCTGGATGGAATTAAAGGCATGAGTCATTGACTACCCAGCTGCCTAGCCTAATAATCTTCACACAGCCTTCAGAAGCTTTATCTGTAGTGCCCATTTTCCAAATGAGTATTAAAACATCAAAGAAACACAACTCAGTAAATAGTGAAGTCAGAGCTCAAACAATCAACACAAAACCTCCCCATTCTTTTATATTACCTTTACTTCTTGGCAAGTACCAATAAATTACAAAAACAAAATTCACTGAAACAGGTATAAATTTGTTTTAGCTCAAAGTTGACCTAAAACTATACTAAAATAAATCTGCTCCTTAAAATTAAAACCACAACCATTATCAGAGAGTACCTGCTACAGTGTAAGAACAATGCAGCTACCAAAAGACGACAAGTGAATAGCTTTAATAGTTTTCTAGTCTCCCAGTGGCAAATGCCCTTGAGCCATAGGCTGAATCCATTTTGCCACAAATATTCACTCAGGTTGATGCACCCTTAACACTTGTGTTCTTAAAAATAGCAATAAAAAATTACCAAGTTACATGGAATCAACTTTTAGAATGTTTAAAGTTATTATTTTATTACTGAGGGTGGGGGCACTAGCATTACCTAGAATCACTTAAGGAATAGAGGACAAATTATTTGTTTAAAAAGATGAATCTCTCGAGGCTGGAGGGTTAAGAACACTGGCTGTACTTCCAAGGACAGAAGTTCAATTCCTAGCATCTACATGGAAGTTTATAACTATCTGTAATTCTAGTCCCAGAAGATCTGATGCCATCATTCTGGCTTCCTTAGCCATAGACACACAAACAGCAAAAACAAACAAACAAACAAACCCAGACACGCATACACAGAAAACAAATTAAAACAAAACAGTAACACAAACCTATGGTAGTACCTGGAATTCATGTACTCTCTGACACAGGAGGATCTTGCCGAGTTCCACACCAGCCTGAGTACACATAATGACACTCCCATACCTTGATCCACTCCAGCAGAAGCTACTGTACTGTGAAATCTTTCAGTACAAAATAATGAGCAGTAACAACTCAGTAGTAGGGGGTGGTGATACACTGCCTACAACCTCAGCTTTCAGAAGAATGAGGCAGGACTGTCAACAACTTGAGACTAGTTTAGATTTCATAGTAAGATCTTGTCTAGAAAACAAAACAAAGCTCAAAGTCTACACTACAATACCCTAAACTCTAGTGAGGACTTTTTAGGATTTGTAGAGAATGAAATAGAATCAGAGTGACTGTCTAGGCTGGTCAGAAAGGAGTTTCCTAGATTTTTAAAGATTTATTTATTTTTATGTCTATGAGAGTGTTCTGCCTACACACGTCTCTTCACCACATGCATGTGGTGCCCATGGAGGCCAGAAGAGGGTAACAGATCCCTTAGGACTGAAGTTACAAATGGTTGTGAGCTGCCATATGGGTGCTGAGAATGGAACCTGGATCCTCTGGGAGAACAGCAAATGCTCTTAACCACTGAACTACCTCTCCAGCTTGATGAGATCCTGGATTCTTTATTTTAAAACCAGGACAAACTGACTACTCCTAAGGAAATATATGTGTCTGAATGCTTGACAGTAAGCAATGTGCCAAACTTTCTAGTGATCTTACTACTCTTGCTTCCTACTAAAATCAGATTCAATTCTTTCTACCTTATACAAGCCCCAGCTAGCATTAACAAAAACTAAGAAAGTCATATAAAAATTTTAATAATAACCCACTTTCAAACATAAACTAAGGACATGTTTAATAGGAGTTTACTTTTCTCATTGACAAGCTTCCAACTTCTTTCCAGGCAGGATCTTACTATGTAGTCTAAGCTGTCCTCAATTTCACAATCCTCCAACCTTATTCTCCAAATGCTGTGCCACCATACTTGATCAACTTTTAGAGCATACTATTTTTTTTTTTAATTAAGTGTAGTTTTTTTTTGTTTTTTTTTGTTTTTTTTTTTTTTTTTTTTTTTTTTTGAGACAAGGTTTCACAGTCTTGGCTCTGCTGGAACTCACTATAGACCAGGCTGGCCTCAAACTCACAAATATTCACCTTTTTCTATGCCTCCTGAGTGCTGGGACTAAAGGCATGCCCAATCCACCACTAGGCACAGCATACTATTTTTACAAGTTACAAATCCAAATGGAAATAAAGCCAAGGTGTGCTTCTCTTTGGTCTGCATAACTAACACTTATGTTCTTTTAGTGGGGAAAAGGTCACTATATTCCTTTAATGGAATGTAATAATATATCCTTTAATACCATTATTTAAAGAGCGCAGAATGTCTTTATTTCTACTTCAAAGCTAGCTAGATGTTATTTAAACACACCAACCTGTAAATAGTAGTTTGTATTATCAAGTAAACTTCATGTCTACATTCTACAGCTGTCTAGTAAAGAGCTCTGAAGTCACAGCAACAGGATGACTACAAATCTACAAATAGGTCCAAGCCTAGATGAGAACACATGCATATGCCCCAAGAGAGGCACTCTTCCTTTAGCTAAAAGAAAAAAAAAAGCTAAGAACTGGTCAGTAGAACAGAACTTGTTTTACAATGGAAAAAGGACACTGGATGTCTACAAAGAGACATAATCCATGCAGATTTTTACAATGCCCTCATACATACTCTATTTGCTACTTTTCATTTACCAGAAAGGTATAACAGAATAGGATACAAAACAAAATAACCAATATTGTGACCCCCTTGAATAAAAACTAAACTGACTGAAAATTCTGTTGAGTT